ATTTTAATTGGAAAGAATGTCTAAACGCCAAATAATTGAAGAAATCCACCGATCCGCCCGTCGAAATTTTCCCAGAAGAAGGACTATTGTAAAAGGATATGCCGACTTGTGGCAGAGTGATTTGGCTGATATCCAAAGTTATAAAGATGAAAACGATGGTTACAGATATATTCTAATTGTCATCGACTGTTATACGAAATATGTGTGGGCGAGACCATTAAAAAATAAAACAGGCTTACATGTTAGAAATGCCTTTTTAGATATACTCCAAAATTGCGCACACCATCCTAAAAATCTACAAACGGATCAAGGGACAGAATATTATAACAAGGAATTTGGGAAAGTAATGAAAACATATGATATAAATCACTATTCGACTTATAGTACAATGAAAGCGTCAATGGCAGAACGTGTGATTCGTACGATAAAATCCCTATTATATAAAAAAATGGCTATGAGAGGGAAATACAATTGGATAGATATTATAAACGGCGTCATTAATAAGTATAATAACACCACGCATTCAATCATAGGTATGAAGCCAATAGATGTCCTGCCGACAACTAAACTCAACCAATATAGGCAAAACAAAAATGAAGTAAGGCGTAAAAAACCGAAATATCGTGTCGGCGATGTCGTAAGAATAAGTAAATATAAAAGCATATTTGAAAAAGGGTATACTGCTAACTATACAACTGAATTATTCAAAATAAGAAAAATAAATAGCACATACCCCGTAACATACATTCTAGAAGATATGAATGGTCAATCGATTAAAGGCTCATTTTATGAGTTGGAATTATTAAAAACAAAGTGGAAAGATGTTTATTTAGTGGAAAAGGTCATTCGGACGAAAGGGGACAAAGCCTTGGTGAAGTGGTTGGGATTCCCACAGCAATTAAACTCTTGGATTAATATAAATGATATTGTTTAGTATGGATATTAAATGAAATAAAGATTAAAAAAAAACAAGTTTTATTTTCCTATTAACTACTACATATACAATAATAAAATAACTTACACTTAAATATATACATAAAGCTTAAATAATAAACTATACAAATTAAATCTAAAACTAATATATAGAGGGTCATTGGATGCATAACAAAGCCGCCGTATTGCAACCCCTGACTCCTTTATTTCAAGCGCCGATGCATACAGGGCAAACATTTGTGTCGCAGAAGTGGGAAATATATCGGGCGCATACATCGCATGTTTGCGGAATCTCCAAATCCCCCCTTCTACAACAAAATGCTGATGCTCATGTATGTACCTGGCATTTGGATTTCTTTCGACATCCATCTGCTCGTAATGAAGGAAGCAGGGGTTGCACAGACGTTTGCTCCGTTCCATGCCAGGAATAACCAACTTCACAATAACGGAGCTGGTTGTAACGCAGAAGTGGTTACCGCCTCTGGCCTGAAATACTGCCAGCTCCCTTCTTATTGAAGTCGGTGATCCAGGGCAATCAGCCTCAATGCCCTCATCGTCGTCGTCGCTGGCGGGCTCATCGGCGGGTGGGGCTGGACCAACGGCGTCTGCACCCTCTTCGGCGGGTGGTGCCGGACCAACAGCGCCCAAATCCTCGTCGGCAGGTTGAGCTAGACCAGCCGCGCCTTCTCTATCACCATCAGCAGCGGCAGCATCAGCAGCCTGTAAAGAAGTATATTGATTAGATATTTTATAAGCATAATGAGTAGTAATTTTATAAACATAAGGTAATAGTTAAAAACTTACATCACGTTCTACGGCGGCCCAAAATTCGTCAATTCCTGGCTTGTTGGCATCAAAGCGCGCTACTAAGGCCAGTTGACGAATGATCTCCCTAACTCCTTCATCTTCTTCACCCTGGTATTCATTTTGGTTGTTCATGACGGTGGTCAGGTCAGCTACACTTAAATGTCTGATGCTGGTACGTGGTCGGGACCTCCTTATATATGTTATGTATTTCCACCTCCACTCCACCAACCCACGAATTTACCACCTCCCCTGCATTACACCGCGCTCAGTTGAGTTCGGCTAGTTCCGGAAAGTTGGAAGTCAGAAAAAATTTTACTCTAGCATTAATCGGCGCCCTGCAGATAATACAAATAACTACGGATTGACTGCAACTCACGCAAGATACGGCATGCCCGCATTGTATAAAAACCATTTGCACCTCCTTATCGCCACAAATCTTACAAGTAAGGCGCTTACTCATAGAACAAGTATCATTTAATTTATTCATAGTAGCGCAGGGCCTTCAAGCTGAATTTAGACAACTGAATATCTGAGGCTATAGGAACTCTTTTATTAAGAGGTCGGCGGATGGATGTTGAGGTGGGGGGATGTTATAGATAGTTCGAACCTTAACAATGCAAACTTTTTTTGTCTGGGCTAGCAATAAGTTCTATTTTTCTTGCTCACGCCCATTCTAGTAGATGAGTATTTGGGTTAAAACTGTACATAATTCTTCAAACGTAAAATAATAGTTTCCTGTTATTCTTATATTATTTTTTCGGAAGACGAAATATCTTCTACTCTACCATTAAAAATATGGTGGGATAGATGTTGAGTGGGACCAATTTTAAATTACAATTGACGCAAAATTATAATTTTTAGCCCATTGAGCAGTCCGCTAGTTTTTGTTGGTTCTAAAAGGAACCGTTTTTTGTTTGTTTTTTTTGTTGGCCCTGAAAAGGGCCGTTTTTCTCGACTAGAGCATACACCCTAATCCGAGTCGGAATCGCTATCCGAATCAGACGATATATCGATCGCCGGTATATCGTCTGAGCCGTAGCCACCCATATCAACATCATCGATGTCGATATCCGCCACTTCCACTTGCGAGGTGCTGTCGCAAGGCCCCGCAGGTGATGGCGGCCTTGCCAGAGGGGTAGAAGAATAAGTTGAGTCACAAGAGCCCAACTCCTCTTCCGACGTGGTCGGAAACAACCATGCGATGGTTGTCCTACATAGTCCGGGTGGGCTGAAACCAGAGCCACTTGCAGAATCGCACATCATGAAGCAGAATGATTGTATGCATATGTGCGATGAGTATTTATAGTGATTGAAAAAAAGTGAGTAGAGTGGGGAGAGAGTGGGGGAGAAGCGAGAGTGGAAGACTCTCAGTGATAAAACTTTTATATCTTAAAATTTCGCTATTATAATATTAAATAGTAAAAATTAAGAGTGCAAGACTTTCGACAATAAAACTTTTATATCTTAAAATTTTGTTGTTTTGTTTGGCTCTGATTAGGGAGTTCGTTTCCACACCATCTTATATATTACAACTAGCCTATCATCATAAACTAATCATAATATATGGAGATAGAACTCATGGCGCGTTGCTTTTTTTTAACGTGGTTAGCTCCCCAGTAGGCATATCTCCACAACTAACAAACTAACAAATACCAAAAAATGTCTACCTGTCCTTATGCAAAACTATGTGCCCCAGAAACTGTTTGTAGCCCATACTTTCTCCATCACCATCGACAGCGGCAGCATCAGCAGTCTGTAAAGAAGTATATTGGGGAGTTCGTTTCCACACCATCTTATATATTACAACTAGCCTATCATCATAAACTAATCATAATATATGGAGATAGAACTCATGGCGCGCTGCTTTTTTTTAACGTGGTTAGCTCCCCTGTAGGCATATCTCCACGACTAATAAACTAACAAATACCAAAAAATGTCTACCTGTCCTTATGCAACACTATGCGATCCAAAAACTTTGTGTAGTCCGCACTCCTAACGCGCGCCCGCTCAATAAGTTCGCGATACCGGCCCTGCATCATATCATATGCACCCTTCTTTTTTTCAAACTCCGATTGGGTCTCTTTGACCCTAGCAATTTCAATGCCCACATCCAACTGCCTTTGGCGCACATTGTTCCGACGATGAATGGTCTCATCCATCTGCCGTTGCAAGTCAACCAAGTGCCGTTGGATGCGGGCATCTTCATCTGCCAATCCTTCAGTCTCGCGCTGAAGTGGCGCTAAGGTAACCTCCATATCTCTCGCCATACCATCCACCTCCATCCTCAGCTGTTTTAGTGTCGCTTCAGTGATACTTAACTGCTCCCTATCAGCATTATACCGCGTCTCCTTATTCAATAGGACGGTGGCGGCGGAGTTGATTTTCCTCCTCATGCTGTCTTCTTCGCCGTCATCCTTGGGCGGTATTGGGATTGGTATCGCCGCACTTGTTGAGGCTACCGCCTTCAACTTCCTTACTGGCGCGGTCTTTGGTTTCGCTGCGGTGGCTCTCGGCTTTCTACTCTTCGGCACAACCACCCGCGGTCTCGTTGGCTTCGACCTACAGGGCGCATCTTCCATTGTGCCGACAAGCTTTGACAATGTGGCTGACGAGGATAGCGTATCAACGCGTACATCGCTGAGGACCCGGATCTTCTTGGGCGCTTCAAAATCGTCTCCGCTATCATATACCGGTACTGGGGCTAGTAACGGAGCCGGTGACGGGAGCGGCAAAGGAGCCGGTAACGGGGCCGGTAATGGGATGTCGCACACTTGCGACAGCTCCATCAGCGATACCGGTGAAGGAACCGTCAACTCCTTGAAGATTTCCTCAAAATCGAATTCCACAGCATCGATTGAAATGATTGAGTTAGCTGCGGCGATCGTCTCTTCGATTGAAGTCATGTTGAAACACTGCTGAGAACTGAAAAAATAACTCGAAAAGAATTAAATAGTTTACTCGGCGAGCCGTAGTAAACTGAATTTCTCAGATCTGGTTCCCGTATATATAGTGATCGGAAAGCGGAGGGGAGAGAGTGGGAGTGGGAGAAAAAAGAAGAAAATCGGCCGGGCGCGGGCTTCGCCCGCGTGCGCCTCCAGCCTATACGTTATATCTAAATTGAGCCACAGTTTTTCGAGGTCCATTACGATATTCCTGAATATCTTTATGTCCCCATAAGTTCTATAACGCTCATGGCACCTTTTTTTTTGTTTTTTTTGTTGGCCCTGAAAAGGGCCGTTTTTGCGGCTAGAGCATACGCCCTAATCCGAGCCGGAATCGCTATCCGAATCAGACGATATATCGATCACCGATATATTATCTGACTCGTAGCCACTCATATCGACATCACCGATGTCGATATCCACCACTTGCGTGGTGCTATCGCAAGGCCCCGCAGGTGATGGCGGCCTTGGTAGAGGACAAGCAGAAGATGAGTCGCAAGGGCCCAACTCCTCTTCCGACGGATCCAATTCCCCCCAGGCCAGCCTTCTGAGGATCGCTTCTCTGAACATCTGAGCCAAAAAAATATCATTAAAATCGCCCATCGTCCAGTTGTTTACTCAGCGAGGAGCTGCAGTAAACTGAATTTCTCAGGTCTTGTTCCCGTATATATAGCGATCGGAAAGTGGAGGGGAGAGAGTGGGAGTGGGGAAAAAAAACCAGCCTCCGGCCGGGCCCTATAACCCCGGCCTTACGGGCCGAAGGCCGGGCCCGCGGAGGCCTCCGGCCTCCCGAAAACGGCCTTCGGCCGTTTTAATTCTTTTTTTCTTTTAACAGATATGTTTATTACTTTTTATTTATCTAATTGTGACTAGTGGGTAGGTGGAAATTGATAAAAGCAAATAAGGTAGGTTTTTAAAATATAATATAAACTTAATTTACATTTCTTATAATAACAGTAAATCTAATATAGGTTCTTCACCACCTTTATTTACAATATTGAAAATATTAAATGTTCTTGCTGCAGCTATTCACCTCCGGTCTTCCCCCATGTTTTGTTTAACATAGCATGGTCAATTACGGCCTGCTGTTCGGCATCAGGCTGGACCTTCCCCCATATTTTATTTAACATGGCAAGGGTGCGGCTTGCGGCTTGTTTTCTGGCGTTTATGTCAGCAATATTGATAGACATTTTTTATGTTTTTTCTGTGCGGTCTGGCTAAAGCAGAATGAAACTATGCATGCATGTGATGAGTATTTATAGTGATCTGAACAAAGCGAGTAGAGTGGGGAAAGAGTGGGGAGAAGCAAGAGTAGAAGACTCGCCGAGAATAAAGCTTTTATATCTTAAACTTTCTTAATATATCAATATATTATAAATAGCGCTTTTAATAATAATGAGTAGGAAGTGTAGGGGAGGGATAGTTGGAAATTAATAAAAAAAATTAAGTAATTTTGTTACAAATATATTACAAACTTATGCATACATTTATGTTTACATTTCTTCTAATAGTCTTAAAAGTAAATCTAATTTATCTTCTTCATTACTATTATTTACAATATTGGATACCCTACATCTAAATTCAGCCACAGTATTTTGAGGTCCATTACGATATTCCTGAATATCTTTATGTCCCCACGGTAGAGTTTTAGCGGTGTTTGGTATTATAAACCTTTTTTCATCATTGTAAGATAATGCAACTTTATTTTTCATTTCAGTATAGATATCATGTAACTGACTTCTAAATGTATTCATTTTTCTAAATATCTTACCCCCACCTTCTACAATTTTTTGATAATCCACCATGTTTAAGCTGTTTTGAATTACGGATTTCTTTACGCCCTTAGCGGTTTTGCTCTCTTTTTCATCTGATCTAATATAATAGGCCTTGGCGCCTGTCCCTAAAAATATGCTGATGGCCTGATTTGGATACTCATCCTTAAAATTTCCCAATATTGGTTTACTTACTGGCAGGTTAAATTTATTATCCGATTTATAATTAGATGTGTCGAAATGTTCGATATTTCCTTTCATAAATTCGTAAAAATTTATTGATTTAACTTTAAGCACAAAACTATCAGTATCCGTGTAAAGTAAGGAAATGTTATCGCCTAATTGTCGTTTTAATGTGCCGTAATAAAAATCATACATTCTCACTTTCGACAATTCCAACACCGTGAAACCTACATAAAGTGGTTTGTTGTAACAAATTTTAGTTCTACCCATATGTATAGCCACAAAGTGCTCTGAAAATATGGAACAAGACTTAAAATTAGGTCTAGCAATTAAGTTGTTTGCGCCTGGGGAATTTCTCTTACTTGCCCAGTGGGTTCTAAGGTAAATATCACGCCTGTCATCTACATTTTCCATAGTTTTCCCGTACACAGAATTGACCATGCGCTTAAAGTGATTTTTCTCGGATGTGTCCTTAGCATTGTTTCTCATATTTGTATTGAGGTCTATATATTTCTTCAGCCAACGAGACTGCTTAAACTTGAGGACGCGATGAATTTGAGTTACAATTAGCCCATTATTTATGGCCTGCTTGAAGTTTCTATAGTGTAATACGTACTTGTCTTTATGATTTAAATTGGGAACCAATTTGGGTATTTCTGTTTTGGAATTAGGTGGAATTATATTCTCTACTAAAAATGGCAAATCAGCGTGTTTATCATGAAGGTGATGCGGATATGTTACATCAACTTCTAAAACATACCCATAATCCCCGAGATCATCAACAGACATAATATCGAGTTGATTAATTTCCTCAGCCGATAACCAAACAAATTCTCCCGTGGGCAGAGGTTGACTCATGCTATAACCATAGAGATTTGTCGCATCGATATAATGTATGGAAGACTTTGGCTCGAAAGGATTATATTCGGACAAATACGGGTTATTGGCGATATGTTTTCTTTCAACGCATTGGCTTATACCGCCGCGTATACTATTTTTGAAGAAATTAATCATATCTATATCTGTCAGTAGTTCCAACTCCACCTTAGTGTACCGCAACATCGCATCCCATGACAGACCTGGAGATGTATAATATTGCGCCGGATCTAGTTTATATGCTTTAAGTGATACATCCCTAAAATTTTCAAATATATCGCACAACATTAAAACATCTGATTTTAAGTATAAATCAGAATAAGATCCCAAAGTTTGACATTTAAATACATTCCAAACTTTCTGAGCCCTAGCATATTCCTCATCAGTTATGTGGCAATTATTTAACTTGTCATAAAACTCATCTTTTGAAGGTAAATTGGGGTGATCTAATTTCATTATATTATCCATGAAATTATATGGAAACACTCCCTTCTGCCTCATTAAATCAATTTTTTCTTTTTCTGCAAAACATTTCCTTGTTTCAACAAAAAATTCTGATGGCAGGTTTTCTGACAGTCCAGCCAATGAATCAGCTAAAAATCTGTAACTATCCAAAAATCTAAGTTTTATGTAATTTTTTCTCAACATACCATCTCTATCTACATAGCTATGGGTGTACAATGGTTTAGTGAACGAAATATATTTTTCTTTATTTTGTGCAATAACTTCGGTCCTCTCACCTTCGCCATACAATTCTTTAATAAATAAATGACTGTCATACCCACTCAAATTGTGGAAAAAGATTGGAACAAATTGTGGGATTTTATAATTTAAATTACAATTGCTATGTGCGGCGCCAGGTGTTTTCTTACCGGTAACATGACAATGATCTCTTACTTTAACGTCACCGTCCTGAAAAGGCTCATCGCAAATAGAGCATATAGTTGACGAGTTAAAATCATCTATTTCATCATTAGACAGCTGATGCATCGGAACAACGTCTTTTAAATAGGTATTATAAATAGTTAAAACATCGTCCTCTAGCCGTTTCACGAAATCGCTACCAGCATTATCACCCGTAAAAGTTACAAATTTCGTCAATGAATTATCAAACGAACATTTAATCAAATATGCAAAAGAATATGGTTCATGTTGGTATGTCGGGATAGTAAACTTTTTTTCCGGATCTGGTTCGCAAGTATCTATTGGTTTTAAAATCGATTCAAAATCAGCGTAAATTACAAATGGAACCCTAAGTTGCTTATCATAATTTTGAAACTTAAGTATGTTTTCAGGTACATAATTACCGCGTTTATCTTTTTTCAGCTCCACTGATGGCGTGCTGGTGTATATATGATTACAATCGCGCAATTGGTGCCGCAATAGTATGCTTTCAGATCGGAAATAAAGTAAACAGCCGTCACAAAAAAATTTTTTGTGCTCATTTCTAGTTACTTGATTCGATACCAATCTGGAAATATTTTTAATCCAACAATAGTGACTATTTCCTGAATCCTCCGTTATTAATAGTAAATTTATATGGTGACCTAACCTCCTAGAGGAATATCGTAATGGGCCTACTATTTCGAATTTAACCTTACCATTTTCATAACTACGTTCCAAACCATAAACATTAACACTTATGTCATTTAAATCTTCAAATTTTGAAATGTCTTTAAGCTTCATAGGGAATTCAATACCATCAACATTCAGCACGGCCTCGAAGTGTGGATACGATGTCGTTAGGTGAACATTGTCCCTCGCTGGATATAGCGCCGACGTGATGGCCCAAGCAAAGCAATACGCATCATTGTTTTGGACATTAACTACACCCTTCTTGGTTTCAATAAACTTAGGGAGCTTAATGTACGAGCAGCCGCCCAATGGGGAGTACTTATTTATATTAACTTCTAAAAATAGTACTTCCCGTAATGTCCAACCTGAAACAATTAGTAATATATTAGTAAACGCTATACTATGAATTATAAAACTACTATACCTGAATCCTTATGTTGAAAGTCTGCAGTTTGAGATACCACAGCGTCCTTAAAGTCTACATATACCGCATCCAAATCCGTCGACAAATCGAGTATTCGATTTATGCTGTTAAAAGATTTGATTTCAGAAACATCTTGGCTCTCCAATGCATAAGTAGCAAAGGCCTCTACATTAACTTTAATGGCATTATGGGCCTTCAGAACAACTTTTAACAATTTCAATACTCTTAATTTTATCGCATCAAAAAATGTTACATAATCTATATGTTTTTCATCACATTTAAGCCTGTAAGTTGCGATTCTGCACTTAAACGCGCTCTTAATTAAATATATACCATCAGCATGAATTGCACAGGCTTTTTCTTTATGCCCATGACTCCTCATATGCGACGTCATCTGATTGGTAGGGACATCTACATTACATGATTCACATCTTCTATTATGGGCTTTTGAGTCTACGATGCGATGCGTATGAACTTGTGGAACTCGCATTACCCGGGCTTTTTTTTCAGGTGGAACATCATTACTGGGAGTAGTAGATCTCTTCGTACCTCCGGATGATTCGCCGATGCGGTTAGATATCAGCTTGCAACTTTTATTTTGATGTCGACGTAAATTATCTACCCTTGTATATGTTAAACCACAATTGCACTTATACATGTTTATTATTTTTATGATTATTTCGATATTAGATGATAGAACTCCCGATAGGCTTAAAGCTAACGATATTTGTACGGATTTGGATGCGGGTCCTACTATATATACCCTCTAGAAAATTCCACCACCTCTTCTTAGCTCCTCCCTCGATATTTCAGTTGGGTGCGTCTATCTCCGGCGCAGCTACCCCTTCTTAGTCCCTTACCACAATATTTCGGTTAAGCACGACCGTCTCTAACGCAGGCTAAGCACTCTAGGCACGACGGCCGAGAGTTAAGGACGTGCTGCCAACAGTAATCACTAGGAGACGCTTAGATAACATTCACTACATTGCATACAGTAATTACTACCTAAGGTGTACTTACACTTTAATATGTATGGAGTAATGAGATGTATACCCTGTGGGTAATTGGGAGGTACTTATTATGCAATTACAATCATTACAGTATGGCGTGTAGATGGTAATTGGGTGGTACTTACTGTGCAATTGCACTTATTACAGTACATGCTGTAATTGGGAGGTACTTTCTAATTGCGCGTCTATCTCTGGCGCAGGCTACCCCTTCTTAGTCCCTTACTTCGATATTTCGGTTAAGCACGACCGTCTCTAACGCAAGCTATGCACTCTAGGCACGCCGGCTGAGAGTTAAGGACGTGCTACCAACATTAATCACTAGGAGGCACTTAGATAACATTCATTACACTACATTGCATACAGTAATTACTACCTAAGGTGTACTTACACTTTAATATGTATGGAGTAATGAGATGTATACCCTGTGGGTAATTGGGAGGTACTTATTATGCAAATACAATCATTACAGTATGGCGTGTACATGGTAATTGGGAGGTACTTACTGTGCAATTGCACTTATTACAGTACATGATGTAATTGGGTGGTACTTACTGTGCAATTGCACTTATTACAGTACATGACGGCATTATGAAGAGATCTTGGTACAGATTACCGTCGAATAGAAAAATCATGCGCAATGACAGGACAAAAGGACCTTAGCGTGTATCTCAGCTATCGTTGGTTCGATCTAAATGAGGAAAAGGGGGCTATGTAGAGAGCGTGATATAGATTAACATACAAGAGAAAAATCATGCGCAATGATAGGACAAAAGGACCTTAGCGTGTATCTCAGCTATCGTTGGTTCGATCTAAATGGGGAAAAGGGGGCTATGTAGAGAGCGTGATATAGATTAACATACAAGAGACAAATCATGCGCAATGATAGGACAAAAGGACCTTAGCGTGTATCTCAGCTATCGTTGGTTCGATTTAAATGGGAAAAACGGCATTATGAAGAGAGCGTGATATAGATCAGTGCTCCGCAACCGGTGTGCCGCGGCACACTGGTGTGCCGTAAGCCGACTTGAGGTGTGCCGCTCTTGCAGACAATACGAATCAGATTCGTATTGTAGCGAGACCCGCGAAAAATAAAGCAATCTGACAACAGCGCCGATGGTAAACGTCTATCCGTCTATCGGCGCGGCGCGGCGGCTTGATTCTCGAAGGCGACTAAACTAGAAAGATCCGTGCCGTTCGAGGCGCGACTCGATGTTTTCCTGAACATCGCCACTGCCTATATAAGCGCGCCTGTCGTCGCTCAGAGACTCAGAGAGAGTCGAATAGTCAAGTGAATCAGATAAATACGCGGGCAAACAAATAAATCGTAGAGTGAAATAAATAGTGAATTGCTATATAAATAAATTCTTGTGCCTTATAAATAAGTGAACTGGACTAAGTTTTGTTGCAGTATCTACTTTTATAAATAACTATAGTGCTTCAAATATGGATAAATTTTTGCTGAAATCACGAGCAGATGACGAAGAACCTAGCACAAGCTCCAGCATAAGTGCTGCAAAAAGAGCAAAAAAGGTGCTGAAAAGGAAGTACAATCAAGACTACCTTCGATATGGTTTCACTTGGTGTGGCGACGAAGCGGCTCCAAAGCCTGAATGCGTCATTTGCGGTGAACAGTTGTCAAATGAAGCAATGGTACCCAGCAAACTAAACCGTCATTTGATCACAAATCATCCCAGTTGCGTCAAAAAAGACATTCAATTTTTCCAACGGCGCTTGGATCAAAATAAACAAAAGCAGTTTATGAAATCGGCGGTTACGGTTTCTGAAAAGGCATTAGAAGCAAGCTACCTTGTTGCAAAATTAATTGCACAACAAAAAAAACCGCACACTATCGGTGAAACGCTTATTAAACCAGCATGCATGGAAATTGTTAGACTTATGCTTGGGCCAAACGAAGTTAAGGACGTGAGTAAAGTTTCTTTGTCGGCCGATACTGTTAAAAGACGTATCCAAGATATGTCAAGTGATATTTTGGGAACACTAATTAAAAAAATCATTTCGGCTGGAATTTTTGCGCTTCAAATCGACGAATCAACCGATATTAAAAATAAAGCACAACTGATGGCTATTGTACGTTTCGTTGACGAGGACTCTATTAAAGAACATTATTTATTTTGTAAGGAGGTTCCAGAGAGAACTACCGGTGAACAAATTTTCCAAGTAACTGATAATTTTTTTAAAATACATAATATTCAGTGGACCAATTGCGTTGCTATTTGTACAGATGGTGCTGCTGCAATGATGGGCAGTAAGAAAGGTTTTGTATCTTGTGTAAAACAAAAAAATCCGTCAATACAAATTACACATTGCTGCATATATCGAGAAGCATTGATGGTCAAAAATTTGCCCGAACAGCTTTCGATCACAATGAATGAATGTATTAAGATCATAAACATAATTAAATCGAGAGCCTTAAATTCGCGAATCTTTGGAATACTCTGTGAAGAAATGGGAAGCGAACATGAATCCTTACTGTTTTATACAGAAGTTCGTTGGTTATCCCGGGGAAAAGTTTTAGCTCGACTGTTTGAACTTCGCTACGAAGTGCGTGAGTTTCTTTCAAGTCAAGATATGTACGATCTATGCCAGCACCTTCATGATGAATACTGAATAGCCAAACTTGCATACATGGCGGATATATTCGAACATCTGAATGAACTTAATAAAAAAATGCAAGGACGGAATGAAAATATATTGACGTGCTCCGATAAATTACAAGGGTTCAAAAAGAAACTTGAACTTTGGCAGGAACAGTTGCAAAAAGGATGTCTAGAAATGTATCACAGGACCAACCACAGTACGATCGAAAACAAGCAGTTAATTGTGGATTTGGCCCAACAACATTTAAGTATGCTTCAACAAAAATTTAAATACTATTTCCATTCTATCAACACGGAACAATACAATTGGATTCGAAATTCTTTCGCAACCAATGCAATAAGTTCCACGGAAGCACTGCCATTGCAAACTCGAGAGGAGTTCACAGAATTAAGTAATGATATGACCCTAAAACTTAAATTCGACGAAGTTCCGTTAGATGTTTTCTGGATTTCCATCAAGACAGAATATCCACGCATCACCGACAAGGCCATCTTCACACTACTTCCGTTTTCCACAACATATTTATGTGAGCAAAGTTTTTCAACGCTTGTATTAATTAAAAATGATAAACGGTCATGCTTAAAAGATCTTGACCAAGAAATGAGAGTTGCGCTGTCTAAAGTTGAGCCGAATATAAAACTTTTGTGTTCAACGAAGCAAGCGCAGGTATCACATTAATCAGTCATCATCATGTCAAAATATTTATTACTATTGACGTGTCAACAGAAGTAAATTTAGTATACCTACCTGTCCTACCTAGTATTTAGTATAGTTCTCATGTATGTACCTATTTGTATTTTTCATTCTATCTGAATAATAAAAAAAAATAAAAAAAAAATATGTATTATGTCCTGAGTGAAAATTTTGATGCCCCAAATCTGAAAGGGGCTTCTTCACATTTTAAAACAATAAAAAAAACTAAGGTAGTTTGGACATCCATAAATAATTAGTATACATGGAGTGAACTGACCCCCGACCTAGCTACGCCACTGCTATAAATATATTTTAGATTTTGGTGTGCCACGAAATTCTAGGGAGCAGTTTGGTGTGCCTCAGATGAGGAAAGCTTGCGGAGCACTGATATAGATTAAAGTTGAAAAGAAAAAATCATGCGCAATGCCATAAGGACCTTAGCGTATATCTTCACTGCTATTGGTCCGATTTAAACGGGAAAAAGGGGGTTATATAGAGAGAGGGGCACCGAAAAGTTTGACGTTTGACGTTTAACGACTGACGTTTCACGTTTGACGTTTCACGTTTGACGTTTACCGTTTTGACGTTTGACGTTCGACGTTTGACGTTTCACGTTTGACGTTTCACGTTTGACGTTACCGTTTGACGTTTCACGTTTGACGTTTCACGTTTGACGTTTGACTGTTAGTTTCTGCTAGTATCGAGGGTACAATAACTACTGCTACTACTACAGCTGGGTTGGCCGAGCGTCAAGGTTAACAACCTAGATCTCCGAGAGGAGGCGTATCCTACACCCGACAATATTAGTAAAATAAGTATAGTATTCAGTATTGAAATGTCTAGCGAAGAGAATAGACGTAGAATTGAAGAGTTTGCAGAGAAAGTTCAAAAACTAAGAAGAGACATAAAATTATATGAAGATAAAAAACAAGTTTTAAAAGACCTATCAAATTTAAGTCTTTGGGAGGATATTGAGAGATATCATCCTAGAAGAATCCAACCGACGCAAATATGGCCATCTTAAAGGCTAATTTCATTATACTTACGGCTATATTAAACAACGTACTGTATACCAATGTACCGTTGGGCGTACAACAGATGGCGATACGTTTTGATAATCAAACGGAATGGCGAAAGATGAATTTCTCGGTGGTAAATAATATGAAGCTAAATACGTTTTCCATAGCAATCGATGAAGCAAAGAGATACAAATTAAAATTGATTTTTAATGATGGCACTGAAGGAGAATTCAAAGATTGGCAGACTCCACCACCACCACCGATCGATTTGAGTGACATGTCAGAGCCCAAATATTCTAAATTATATGTAGTTAGTT